TATCCTCTGATGCTGTAAGTAAGGAGGCCCGTTTAGTCTCTTAGGCACCACCCTAATCCACTGACCGGACTATGATCAATTCAAGATGCATACAAGCCAGATCTAAGGCTGTGGCTTTCATAAACATTGTGACTGGCTCTAGCTATTCATGGAAATCACATTTTCCTTGAAAGCAAAGTGTGTAAATGCAACAATTTTTGGGAAAATAAAGCAAGGGCGAGACCGCGAGAGTCCACAAGTAAGTGCAATTATTTAGTTCAAAGCAACTGAGAATTCTAAAACTGACTCTATAACAAAAGTAAGGGCGAGAGTTCCAAAAGGACAAGATCATTATAAAAAACTGAAAACATTTGTGGGATTGACACCTAAGCAAAAATATCTTAGAATGTTTCTCTTTTAATATATAGAGGATATGATAAAGTTAATCTAACTATAAATTTAAACTCATGAATCATGCTACCCTTTCATAAATACTTCAATACCGAAAGAAAAGGGGAAAAATTAGTATGTCATATCCGACCAAAACATTGGAAATATTAGTTCGCCTTATCCATTGTCTCCGTTCAATACCTATATATGAATATTTAACAACCAAAACCATACACATTCAATACCTATATATGAATAGCGAGAGAATGATATCCGATTATATTTTCATAGTTAAGCTCGATCTCAGATACAAGCCGCAACGCAACTTGATCAACAAAATTTTCTATATTGTTTAGGGAGGAGAGATCAGGAGCTGCGGTAACGACCGAAAAATGGACTCCTTCCCATTACAAACGAGCTGAAACTTTTTGTGATTTTTACGTCTCACTAGCTTGCCAATGGATAATAGTACACCAGAAGTTCAGACAAAGCCTTCCTAAGACTAAAGACCGGATCCTTCTGGTTCTTCTTATTTGCTTTAAAAACGTAACAATAGCATGTCTAATTTAGCCGAGAGGGTTGTTGTATAAACTGAAAAGTGAAAGGTTTCCAGAAAGAGTTTGTTTTGAAGGTTTAACAAGCTCAATTGAGTCCTTCTCGAGTAATAGAGGAAGACTCAAGTTGGTTTGGTTTGTCATCTTATCAAAATTACGAATGTATAAAATATAAGATCACCGTCTTCATCTCTTCATGCTGTTTATATATATATAGAGAAGTGTTTCAACTTTGTGCTGCTATCAGTAAACAAAATTAACTAACACAACATGTTTATGCTTTTTTTTTTCTGTAAAGAAAATTTACTATCAAAGCCCATAATCTTTCTTTATTGTGTTTAGTAGTCTAGAGACTATTTACACTTGGTACATTAGTATTGGTCATGTCTTACGTGTTTGGTATTTCTAAAATCCAAAGGAAAGGAATTATTATTA